GAAATAACATTCCTTTATCCTTCAGCTGGAGCTTCCCAAATACCATACAGTATTCTCTTTCTCTTGTGCACATGAAAATAGTAAAACCTTGAGGAAAAATTAAGTTACTGGATTAGATATTGGGGAAGAAATCCTACCCTGTGAGGGCAGTGAGGCCCTGGCACAGGTTGTGAGGGTGGGGAGGCCCTGGCACAGGTTGCCCAGAGAAGCTGTGGCTGCCCCATCCCTGGAAGTGTCCAAGGCCAGGTTGGACCTGTGATAGTGGAAGGTGCCCCTGCCCATGGCAAGGGGTCCCTTCCAACCCAAACCATTCATTTTGCTGTCTCAAGTATGTCATAACAGATACTTCTCCAAACACGGTGCTTTATAGAATCAGAGAATGCTTTGGGTTGGAAGGCACGTTAAGGATCATCTCTTTCCAGCCTCCCTATCCTGGGTAGGGATGAAGTGTGCAAAGGCAGTTTAAGCATATTCTTCTCCAGAGTCACTGCAAATTACAGTGCTAAAAGCATAAAGACAGTGCCTTTTCCTCGTATGTCTCAACACCTCTTAGCAGGTTTTTCTTTTAGAATACTCAACATTCTCCAACAAGACTTAGATGAGGGATTCTTTCCTAATTTCTGCTCCTCTAGCAGCCTGTGAGGGAGAAGTGTGTACATTGTTAGAGAATGACACAAGAAACCATCACCTCTTAATGATATTTTTCCCAGTAGAGCTGGAGGTGTCAGAACTGCTAGGCAGGCTTGTTTGATGGCCCTTGTGGAAAAGGAGTCACTTCCCTCATGTTCCTTCTACGAGAGGAAAACAGCAAATTCACATCATGGAAGGAGCACATAGTTCAGATCCTGATACTGTAAAGCAGCTGTGAGCAGCACTGTGGGATTACACAGCATATATATACAATGAGGCTGATTGTCCTAACTGTAAAAAGCTGCTATTCCTCAGTGTCTGGTGCCAATCTTCCATAAAAACAGAAGTGTGGGCTTTAACAGCAACTGCTTCAAACTGCCCAACTCAAAAACAGATTCATATCTGTAAAAGAGCAGAGCTATTCAGACATCGCTGTACATAATCTTTTTTCTATACTCTTAAATCAGGACACAAACCAGAAAAGAACACAATTAAGAATCATCTCTTATGCAAAACTTCTAAAACTTTAATACTTGTTAATTCACCTCTGAACACTTACAAGTACTTACATGAACACACTGTAATGAAAAGGACAAACCAGTAATGTGTTTTCAGCCTCTGCTGAGCAGAGTAAGAGGCTTGAGAAATCACAGTATATTTAGAGAAGAAAAATTATTTGCAACTTCAAGTTAGTGGACAGGGAATATAGTTTTGTAAATACTGTGGCAGCATAACTATGACAGTTAAATCACCTAAGAAATTCAAACACTGCCGCTTTGATGTGTCCACAGTAGACACTGGAAACATGAACTTGTTAATATAGCTGCTAAAAGTATCTTTGTTCTCAAACAGTAACTACAGATGGTTTGCTAAGGCTGTGTGAATTACCTCCTCAGCCAAGACAGTGGAACATTAAAATATGGATTAGAAATTTACTTGTAATCAGCACTAAGGTGAGGTAACAGGCAAGAGAATCAGTGGCACAGCATATGGTTTACTAACTGGAATTTGCTTATCAGACCATAAAAACCAGATACTGTTTTATTTTCTTTGTTTACATTTGAGCAATGGTATAAATTAGAAAACTTCGATTTGGAAATATCCCACACTAGAGAAATACTACCTCTGAACCCTTCAAGGTGACAGTCTTAGTAGTCCTGTTAGTCATTTTAAGATACATGTAAGCTTTCTACAGTTTGGTAAACTGTTACCTTCAGAGCTGCCTCAACATGTTTTCTACTGTAAGCAGAGGAATAAACATTTAACTGAAAAATATAGAAGACTCAGGCCATGGAAAGCATTACTAATCCCACAACTGAATTTCAGTTTGGGTGGCAAGGAGGAGAGGTGATTTAAATAACAAGTTTTCAGAACACACAGTACAACTGGCAGCTCTCAAGTTGATCCCTGGTTTAATATTTGTGTGACACAATTTCTGCTTAGGTTGTTTGGGTTTGGAACTGACAGACCCAAGCTCTGTGGTATCTGCTTTACCAAATGGCCATTCAACAAATTCTGGAGGTGTGTCTTCTTCCAGGCAGTTTACCAGAAGGACCTTCTCTCTTCTGCTCTCTCCGAGGTGCGCCGCAGCAGATACACTGCAGCGTGGAGTCCCCCCACGTTCACCCACACCGTCTGAGCTCTGCGCCAGATGTGTCCCACCCGTGACAAGGCCTGCAAGCCAAAACCAGCCAGAGAGCAGCGTTAAGACAGTAATATTATTTTTTATTAGTCTAAATCACATCTGATGGCAATGTCAAGGGACTTTTCGCACCCAGAACTGCATTTAGATGTTAGTAATTTTTGCTCAATAAATAAAACATCTGTAATGATGACAGCTTACAGTTTTTTTTCTCAATACATTTTCAAGTGTAAATAGGTTTGATTTTCTCTCACAGAACATACCTTGGCAAAGCATTTCTTGTCCTGGGTAAGCAGCACAGCCCTGCCTGTCCCTGGGGTGCAGATCCGGCCCATCTCCATCAGGCAGGCTGGGTAGAGATCCCAGTTCTTCTTCTTTGACCCTATCCTGCAAGATACATTCAGATGTCCTTTGTGATCACTGGAACCAGTTCACTGACGTTGGTCTCAGACAGGGATCAGCTTATTCAGGACCACGGTTACTGTTACTTTCAAGTTGTACTTTTACCATAGGGCCTGTCACACCTTCCCAACTAGGCCCAGTTAAGGACCTGACTGGAGAGAAGCCCAGGCCTGGCCAGGTGAGCCCATGCAGCTGTGGCAGTGAGGCACAGCACCTTTCCAGCACTCCTCACCTCTTCCCAAAGGGCATGTCTGTCACTACGATGTCCACAGAGCCAGGCCGGAGAGGCAGGTTGCAGATGTCCCACTGGATGATGTCCAAGGGAACACCCAGGGCAGTGCTGCTGCAAGGGCAAAGGCAGTTACCTCAGACATGAGCACTCAGAAGGTTTTTACACTGAGGAGATCTAGAATGTTGGAAGCGGAATAAACAGGAAAATATGAACTAGACACTCCAAAGCATCAATGCAAAGTGGATTTCTCTGCATACAGCACTGCAGGAAACAGAAATTCCTTGTGCTCTTCTCACCTGTCCTTACTCTCATTTTTCCTCAGTAAGGAGCAGATGTTGTTTGCTGCTCTCTTCACAGCCTGAGGGTTGTTATCCCCTGCAATGTGGTAGCAGCCGGGCCATTCCGCAGCTCCCTAGGGGAGAATTGATAATAAGCAACATTAGCATCAACGCTGCTTGACTGAAAACACAACAAACAGAAGAATTACTCAAACATGACAAAATACAACAAAGCAACTGCAAGTGGATGGCAAGGAATTTAGAGTTCTGTAACAGATAGCTGTTACAGGTATTATGCACCTTTAAGGCTCAAAATACTTTTGGATTTAGTTTCTTCCCGCTATAGACCAGAGAAGGAAAAAGGTCACTTACAAAAAGTGTATTTGTATCTGTTCAAAAGTTGGTGAGATTGGACCTTGCTATTCCGTCATTACCAAGAAGACTTACACACATTACTGAGTTACAGATACTGTTAAGTTTAATTAAGTTAAAAAAATCACAGAAGAATCACCTCTATTGGTATCGCACCTGTACCACACATGGGATCAACTATGATGTCCGTGGGCTGGGGATCACAGAGTCTGAAGAATAGAAGAAAAGATACGGTGAGAAAAGCCAAGAAAATGTGAATATCTCTAAGGAAGGGAAAGTGAACTATTTTAATAATTCTGATTCTATCCTTTTAACAAAAAAACTTTGTGATTATTTTTTCAATACGTTAATTACCATTTTATGAGCAGCAATACAGTGAAATTCTTTCACAAATGTGATACACTATTTTCAAGCTAGGCTAACACAGCAAAGATTTACTTTCCTCGTCTGGGAAACCACCACTGTAACTACAAAGCACACCATGTCAGCAACTCTGTTTTTTAAATTTTTTTTGAGAATTAACAGAAATGGCTTCTGAGGAAGCAGTGGGGAGATAAAGGGCCTAATTTCTGAAACAAAAGGACTCATTAACTGAGTATAACAGAACGCAGCTGCCCTGACCTGAGCATGCCGTAAGCCAGAGTCGAACGCAGCGTCGTGGGTCCGAAGTGTGTGATATTCCGTCTGTGGAGACTCTCTTCAGTTAATGCAATCCCCACCACCACTTCATTGTTGTGAATATTCAGAAGAACCTAAAGAAAAAACCTGAACTGAATTTCAGGAGTTTGCATAGTATGCCTGGTAAATATTTATGGGAAGTTATATGGCAATTTAAAAACCAGGAACGATGTATAAAAGAGCTTTTCTTCTTGTAGGAAAATCAAAGCCCCATTTTTATAACCATAAAGGACAGAACTTGGGAGAGCATTCACATATTCTCTCAGTCACACAGAATCTTTTACACAAGACTTCCCAAAGTGCTATAACAACTACACTGGCTTCCTAAAAGGTTTAGTTTTTAAATTTGGGGGAGAAGCCAAGTAAGTCCTGCAAGTCACAGTGAAGTATCTGCAAAGCAGCAATAAAATTCATATTTGTGGTGGAGACAATATTAGCATCTTGCTCCAGGGCAGTGACCAGCCCTTAATAAACCACAAGAAAAACAAGTCTCTCTGTCCCTCAGAAACAGTACTCCTACCAAGGGTATTGGTTGTGCTTTCCCAAACTCTGCTCTCCTCTGACAGGAAATAAACACTGGACAGTTACTATTAACCCTTTCTGTTCCCTTCACTCATAAAACCAGCTTCCAGATGGAGCATCTCCTGACACCTTAGAGTGGTATTAAGCAACAGAATAAGGACAGGTTTACTGAAGGTAAAAGCAAAGCAGAAGGCTCTGACATTACCTTTAAATACAAAGGAGACCAAAGGCTACAGCAGGTGGTAATACTCAGAAGTCAAGCCTTTGCTGTGGCTGGGAGAGAGCTTTGCAGCCCCAGCTCAGCTGTGCTGGGTTCATCAGCTGACAAGAGGAGACAGCAGTGTTTGAACAAATTAGAGGCCCGGGGAAGGGAGAGGTGCCACACTGGGCCACTCCAGAGATTATTATCATGGATAGCCAAAGCACCATCTGAGGACACATGTAAAGTGCCAGGGAAACGAACACTTTCAGTTCCAGAGTCTCTGAAAGGCAATTTGGGGACCTCTGAGCATCAGAATTAAGAACTAAAGATTTGTACAGCAGAAACATAGGCATTTCCAAGGCACACCACCATACCTCCACATCAAAGTTCGTCATGTCAGCTTTCCACTGGAAGTGCTCCTGCACGGCTCCACCGAAGTCTCTCGCAGCCTCGTTTGATGTGAAGCTGTGCTTGTCTCCAGCTCTGTTGCACGTCACGCGGAACTTCAGCACCTTCGCCTCTCCTTCAGCTGTCTGACCATCACCAGCCTTGGTACTACTCCCAGAACTCGCCTGCACTTCGTCCCTCGCATTCAATTGCTCATTATCCTCCTCTTCCTCCTCTCCCCCATTTTGGGATGCCACCCCTTGGGGCTTCTCTGTATCCTGGCTGCTAGCCACACCCACAATGCTTTGGGCACAGTCCTCCTGGTCATTAGTGTCTTTTTGGTCTGCTCCTCCCTCTTCTCCACCATCATTCAGCTTCTCCTTGCTTGCAGGACTCTGCAAATTGTGTTTTTTGCGTTTTGTCTTTTTCTTTTTTAAGCTGTTGTTCAGCTCCCAAACTTTCAACGGATCGGTCCAGGGCAGCTTTTTAACCAAACCTTCCAAATCCTTTAAAGCATCTTCCTTTAACAGACAAAAGAAGTCGTACTTTGAAGTCATTTCATTCCTTTAAAAGTTATCTTTTATTTTTAGGTCTCTCAAAGTAATTTATTAAACATTAACCCACTACATCTTTAAGAAAAGCTTACAGGTTTTTGTCCAATTCTTGCCATAAAAGGAATTACACCGAAAATCACAAGACCCACAGGATTTCACAGTTTATCTCATAAAACAAACAGCTAGCAGTGCATTAAGTGACCAAAGCGATACATCACTGTCCTATGTCTGTGACCTACAAACATGGCATCAGCTCTCATCCCAGATTTTGCCAATGCAACATATTTAACTGAAGAAATGTTAGACGACATGGCCACAGTTCCATTTACAAGCCAGAAAAGATGAACTGGAACAATATCACAACTGAAAAACCCAACAAACTTGTTAAACAAACAGAATACTTTGACACTCGTCTTAAACTAAAAAACAGTCAAACCAAACAACACTTCAAACCCCAGAACTGACCGAAAAATGGGGAATACCTCACCTTATTTTCTTTAAATTGATAGTCTTTGAACTCTTCAACAACAACAAATAAATTATCCACTGACCGCAGACGGTGGACCTAGAGGAGATGAGAAGGCACGGTGGCACGTTACTAACCGTGTGTCATAGGGATTCTGTTTACTTAGGTTAGAATTTTGCCATCTTACATGCACGATTTTCCACTTTAGTCCCCACGGGAGTTATCACTATACCGCTACACTGATTTAACCTCCCCAGTTTTGACTTAATCTCCCTT